TTTTTTTTTTTTTTTTTTTAAAGCCAAACTCAAAATATCCCAATCCCATCTACACTACCCAACATTTTCTATATATATTTTACCTTTTTTTATTGCATTTTATATTAATATTTGTACACACACAATAATACAATAATAAAAAAAGTAAAATTACATTTTTAGTCCTACTAGTTTAACGTCGTATACGACGTAGCATTTTTTAGTCATAAGATTTTAACTTTTTGTCATTTGATCTTGTAATTTAGTATTTTGATGCAATTTCAGTTCTTTGGGACTGAAATTGCAACAAAATTTAAAATTACATGACTTAAATTGCTAGTAAAAAATTCATCCATAATTTTTTTATCAGCAATTTAAGTCATGTAGTTTAAAATTTTGTTGCATTTTTAGTCCTAAATGACTGAAATTGCGTTGAATATTAAAATTGTAGGACTAAATAGTAAAAATGTTCACATTTTAGGACTAAAAATGTCACTGAATCAAACTAATAAGACTAAAATTGCAATTTTGTCTAACAAAAATAGTAACATCAATTGTTGTTGTTAGGCAGATGTAATCGTACTTTTTTTTTAATAAACAGTGGCTTGGGTGCGCCCACACACACATAGTATATAATTAACTGAAACATCATATTTAAAAAAAAATAATAATAATATAAACAAAAGTATAACATTTTGAAATAATAATATAATTATAACCAATATCTTATAATTTTTTAAACATGTATATTTGTTTAAATAAAAAGTATATGTTCGATCTCTAACACTTAAAATTATATGCTTATTTCAATACTTAGGCACGTGATGTTTATCTTCATTGATCTTAGATGAAAAAATATGTACTATTAAAAGTGGAAAAAAAAAAAAAAAAAAAAAACTCATGTGAACTATAGTAAAATATGTCCACTAATCATGTGTTAAAATTTGTGGTCTATTAATATTTGTTGGTATATTAGCCACTATTCCCCATGATTGCATTAATTATCTGAAATACTTTATGTTCATTATCCCTATATAAATGAGGGAATGAGTAAAGTCTCGTTGACGGAATAGTTTCGTCACGATTTGTTATCGTAGATTATCCACACAATATAACCTATTTTTCTTTATTCGACGGTGGAAAACACTGACGGTACTGTCCCGTAACTGAATCTTAGCATTTTCCTATAATTAATTGCATGATTAAACTAATATTAATTATTAAACACTGATATATATATATATGTGTAATTAGGGATTGATTAACAAATGCCATGTTGATGTATTGTAGTTAGAGTATATTATTATTATTATTATTTTATATGGCACATATGTGGAAATTTCGTAATTGGGGCCGTCATCATTGATTATTTGAATTATTTGGGTAACCTTCTATTTTTGTACATTTTGGATTTAAATAATTGTGTGTACTAAGATTTGTGTATTATTACTTATAATCGTGCCGTACAAGAATAAGATTGAAGGTTGAAGAACAAAAATGATGTCCTTTGCATTTATTTTTTTTTATTTATTTTTTATTTTTTTGTCCTTTGCATTTAAATAATATATTATTATTTTTTCCTAACAAGTGGTTCTCTTTTTTGACTGAACAAAGCCAATCCATGTACATTCACCCTGACAACCACCAAAGTTCACCCAAATAAGAAAAAACAAAATAAAGATTATTAATTATTATTATTATTGAGACATGCTTCGGTGTTTGTAATTGTTCGATCATCATATTACTGTCGGGAATAGTTACAAATTTCGAAATGGTTTCGTAACACGACCGTAGCATCTCCCATTATTATTATTATTATTATTATTATTATTATTATTGTTATTATTATTATTATTATTATTATTTTCTTGTTGCATTTGCTGGTCAGTGGCCCCGTTAGGTGGTCAGCTGCTTTCACATTACATAATATTTTACAAAAAATTAGGTCTCAAGGACATTGCACGATAAGGGATTTATTTTTTTTATATATATAAGAAAAAAAATCATGTTTTGTTTAAGCCTCTTTAGTGATGGTAATATTATAAGATGAAATAAAAAAAAAAAAAAAATCATGTGGTATTCTTTGCGTTCAAATATTATCAATAATTTAGATTTTGACAAACACATGGTCTAATAAGTCAATTAGTAAAAGTGATTCTAAGAGCATTCACAATACTTTGAGTTTAACCACATAAAATTATATGTCACCTAAAAAATAGACTAAGTATAAAAAAATATATCATCTAAATGCAAGTAAAAGTAGATTGGGTAAAAAAAATAAAAATAAACTGAATCCTACTGATGTGACAACTAAAAAAAGAGACCCAGTTCACTTAAGTCCATTTTAGATGTACAGACCTAGTCTCAGAAAAAAGAAACTCAGTCTACCAAAACTTCATTTGATTTCATATTAGTAAGTACTATAATGATCATGGGAAATGCTAAGGTCCCGTTATGGAACCATTCTGTCGGTTTTTGTAACCGTTAGGTCATCATGTAACCGTCAGATATAGTTGATCTAACGGCTACAAACTCCGACGGAATGATTCTGTAACAGGACCGTAGTATCTTCCAATGATCATATACCTATTTTTAGTGTGTGCACAATTTACTTTTTATTTATTTATTTATTTATTTTTATGTTTTTTCTGTGTCTTAAATGAATCAAATATCTATATATATAATTGCTGGCAAGTTTCAATATATTTTATTCAGTCAACAATTAATAAAAAATAGGACTTGATCATCGATAAAAATATTTATGATCAACATTCAAATGACAATTACACAAGTAAAACCTTCTTATTATTAATTTTTCTATTCTGCAACACCTTTAAAAGATTTTAAATTTTTTGAATATACAATATTAAATTATTTTACAACCAATATTCCTATTTACATAACAAAACAAAACAAAAACAAAACTAATTTATACGGAAGTTAAATAATTTATATTTATATTACACATTTACATATAGTCAAAATTTTAAAATGTAACACACACTTTATCTAATTTAAATTTTTAATAATCATATACGTATATATAATATATAGTTTTGTTTCCCTGATTGAATACTAGTAGATTTAGATATTTCAAATTCGTTACACATATATATATAAGTAGACTTGGCCAAAGCCCGGGCCGGTTCACGGCCCGGCCAGGCCAGCCAGGTCGGCTGGCCTCAAATGCTGGGCCTGTAACCAACCGCCGGTTTAAAAAATAAAAAAAATAAAATAAATTTCCAACTGTGACCCGTCGGAAAACCCAAGCCGGAGGATTAGAAAGGAGTACGTACAACATGACCCGTAACCGACCCTTAAGAGGTATGGGCCGCTTCAAAAACCAGCTAGGGCAGACCGGTTAAGGGGCCGGGCCAACCGGTGGCCATGTCTATATCTATGTACCAAAATTTTAAAGCCTCTTGTATCATCATCCTTTGACAAAATAAATTGTCATTTTCAATTGAATTATGGGTTCTGTACAAATAGTACAGTCCTAAAAAAAAAACTAAAAAAAATCAGAAAATAATGCATTTTATAAGATGAGATAAGAGAGGAAGAGTTTGATTCCTCCTAATGGATGACAGTGTTTGTTCAGACCCAAATTTCTCATTAGATTCTTTCCTTTGCATAGGATCCACGAAACTCTGCAAAAAAACCCAGATTTGTACGTACG